AGGTGCTGGGCTCCTCTTCAACAGATTTGTTAGAGAAGAGCATTGTGAGTGACCATCCATGGCTGGTTTAAACCAATGTTTTTTCACACCTGGTAACTTTAAGATGGATGATTTCAGCTTCCAGCATGCTAGCTAAGGAATTCTGGGAGCTGAAGTCTTCCCAACATAAATTGCCAAGTTTGAAAAATCCTGGTTTAAACTGAATTCCAGCCCTTAGTGAGACTAGATGGCCTAAACGGCCCCTTCTATTTCTAGGGTTGCATCATATCTCCTTTGGCTTAAGGCAGCTCTTCAAGGAGGATATTATTTCCCAGTGAAAAGGCCCTCATACACAGGTCCTTTAGTCAGCTAAAATGGAAACATTGGTATGAACCAGCAATATATCTCAACAAGATTGTCCTTCTGGCTTTCTCCATTGATCTTATTAGGCAGCCAAGCTCCCAGAATGGTGGTTCACTTATATTCGGAGGAGTCGATTCCAATCTCTACAATGGTCAGATTTACTGGACTCCAGTCACCCAAGACTTGTATTGGCAAATCGCGATTGATGGGTAAGGTTGTTTTCAGTTGTAATATTTACCGAAGAGCCTGATGGAAAAGAAACAGAAGCTTAAGCCTTACATGAGGAATGATCCCTCGGAGATGGATTTTGAAATTCCTAGGTCAAGGGACACCAATGGGGCCCCAGAGCCATTCAGAATGTTGCAATTGGTAGATTTTAATATGACAGAAGGCAAAGTATTAAATGGAGAGGTATTCAATTGAATGTAATATGATTTCATTGTTATCCCCTCCTCATTCTCTTCTTTATTTTGGCTCCACTTAATCTTGGGGGGAATCCCTTGCTTCCTGTACCAAGGCATCTCTGATTCTACTAGTAGCAGCTGGTCAGTAGTCATTAATTTTGTACTCTACAAATATGGTTTTCCAGCTTGCTTTTATTTCTGGGACAATCCACTTTTTTCCCTCTTTGGAAACCCCCCCCCCAGACTCTGGTGGTCCTGGGCAAAACAACAAGCTGATTTTATATTAAAATGACCACAGCTGCTCCCGTTTCAGTGATGCTACTGGGTATCTTTTGACTAAGTGTGCAAGAACAATATAACAGCGGGTATCTCTGGACTTTCTTTCTGTAGATTCCTGGTTAACAACCAAGGCACCAACTGGTGCAGTCAGGGCTGCCAGGGGATTGTGGATACCGGAACATCACTACTCACTGTTCCTGGGCAGTTCTTTCAAGAGCTGATGCAGAACATTGGAGCTCAACAAAACAACAATGGCGCGGTAGGGAAAAATTGCTATGTGCAGGGTCGAAAAAATCTGAGCGAAACTGGCAGTCCTTAATTTCCGCAAGATACCTGGGATACTCTTATTGTGGGCATGAAAATATTTCCCAAATGTATCCAATACCAGATGATGGAGAAACCGACTCCCTTAATACTCATTTCATTTATCTCGGCAACAGGAATTGTGAGGTAGGGTGGGAGGAGGGAGAAAATGTACAGCTCTCTGGCAGGACCCACCCTAGTTGCTAGTTCTTCATTTAGCTTTTGTCAAAGTAAACTGAACCAAACAAGATGCCAGTGGAGGTTCAACTCCCACCCATCAACCAGTATAGAGAAGAGTTGGCTTTTTCTTAAGAAGGCTAAAGTAAGAAATAGAGTTTTCCCTTCTAATGCATCTTGATAATGAATTAAGCCAGTGTGCTTTTACAGGAAAGTAAAAAGGTGAGAAGGGGAGCAGAATGCTATGTAATTTACTTATTTACTGTCTAGTTTATCCCTTAGAATATTGTACTTATGGTTTTTGCACATTTTCTCTTTATTTTCTTTCCTATTCTATAGTATGTGGTTAGCTGCAATAACGTTCAATACATGCCCACTATCACATTTGTCATCAATGGAAATTATTTCCCCCTGAGTCCATCTGCCTATGTCCTTCCGGTAGGTCATTCTTTTCAACAGCTGTTTTCACGTTGGTCTTAGGTATCTGTAATTACCTTGTGTCAGCCATTTACAACTGCTCTATTGAAAGACATAGCACACGGTATCTCTTCATGTCGTTTCATTCTCCTCGCTGTTCCATGGAAAAGCAGAGAGCGTGACTTTGACATGTTCTGATGGGAAAGGTGAAGAAAAGAGCTAAAAAAGTTGACAAGATATTATATAAAAAAACATTACCTAGATATGGGGCATCAGAAGGTGCAGTATGGTGTAAAGTATGATGCCATTAATAAAATAAATATTTGAGAGGCTTGGGTAATTGAAGCGAACAATTTGTTTCCTGGTGGTCCATGTATTGAAACCAACAATACTTGTGATTTAGATCATACTTTTCCTGTAGGGAATTGAGTAATAATGAACTGAGCAGGCCTAAAAATGTGTTCTTTAAAATGGAGTTATAGAGTAGTGTATAGTTTTGTGGTTAAAAATCTTGCAGAGTGTTATATGTGATTACAACTGTAGAGAGTTTGAATACTGAAAGTTAAACTTTGCTTTCGCAAGTTAACTGTCTCAGGTTATTTCTGATATTTTGAGAAAAATGCCTTAGCCCAAGAGTTTTAATGCAGTCTATGTCTTTTCCTCAATAGTATTCTAATAACAATTGCCAGATTGGCATAATGCCTACTTACCTGCCATCCCAGAATGGACAAC